TAATTAAGCCAATTAATTAAAAACTCTCTCAGGGAATGAAAATGAATTAATATTTTATTGATTTCTCTTGATTGTGTTTATTATAAAATTTATTTATATTTATATTCAAACAAATATATTATAGGTGAATAAGAATTTTAGAGGATAAGTTTGTAATTTATAGTGATAATGAGTTTGAAAAAATATAACATTTTATTATTGTTTCAAAATAGGACACTCCTTAGTGAAGAAATTTCAATCTCTTGATTTTGATGAGTCGAATTCTTGAATAAGTATTTCAAACAAATAAAGCATTTATTTTTATTTAAAAAGTCTTAACGGTAACTCACAAGCATAACCTAATGAGATAAATTATTGATGCCACTTAATTAATTTATTTGGAACATTTGTTTTAGAAGTTCAGGATAAACAATCAGTTATTTCAATTTAATTTAAAATAATTAATTCAAAATACTATTTTGATTTGCATTTATTCTATTATTTATGCTTAAATGCATCATTGTTAAAAAAGACTTTATTAGTTAGGATACGTCTACAATTGATTAGAAATGTTCAACTGATTATACAATAGTAGATTGATAATCTTAAGAATGTCCTGATTGCAAAATAATTCTGGTATTTATTCTTAGAGATGTTTATCTGCCTTTTATCATTATTCTACTTCTAAATAATGTTGGATATTATCGTTTTGCTCGTATTTATAATAGTGTATTACGATATTTATAATTTGTTGGATGCATTGATGATAAATACTATTTTATATCTGCAGAAAGATAAATGTGTAGATGGAAGAATATAGAACATTATAATATTTAAGGAGAAGAACTTTTAATATATGATATACATAATTTGTCAATACCAGATCTAAATCTTGAACAATAGATCTTGAAACTAATTTTGAAATTAGCCTCATTCCAAGTTTGTATTTGTGCAAAGATTAATAAGTGAATGAATTAATGTTATAAATGAATATGTTCATGCCAGTGATACTATTGATTAAAATGTCGTTACGAAAAAGCAATTTTAAAATATTAATTTTTGAAGAAAATAAAATTTAACTACACAAGCAAATTACCAAACGGACGAACTCAAATAACTAGTATTAGAACGTCAGAATAATTCAAACAGATTGTTATTTCCAAATTAGTTCTAAAAATGTTAAGTAAATTAGGAATACACTAATTAAGTAAAAATTTATACAGGTAAATCAACTAAACTTTGGATTACATATAATTTTGATTTGTCTTCCTAAGTTTACTACAATTTTAGTAGTGTTGTAATTTCTAAAATTTTTTTTAGGATGATTTATAGTTAGAAGAAAATTTTATATTTAGGAATATTGTATTCCCAAGCTAATAAGGTTGCACTATCTGTTTAAACCTTTAAAGAATGTATTATAGAAGGGAATTCAAATTAAAAAGTATTCATACCATTTTTTTTTAACTGAGTATTCATATTTTGATTTAAGAGTAGGTTTAATGAGCATGGTTTTTTATAAAAGGATTAAGAGTGATTTTTCAAGGCTTTTTAAATCTTTATTAGTTTTAGTTGAGTTAATTTATTAATTTTAATACTTATTTTAATAATTATTCCTTGATGTTCAGAGCACTGAATCAACCTATTAAATAATATTTTGGTATACAATTAATAAAAAAAACCAATATTAAATTATTTAAAAACTATTAATAAAAAATATCAATATTAGTTTTTTGAATATAATTGATAAAAGATCTTTAAAGAAGGATATTTATTTATTTGTATGAAAAAATATATGATAAATTAATTCATTCAAAATATGAAAGAAAAAAGTGAATTTAAAAAATAGATATAGCTGAGGACAATTTAAATTATCTTTTTATGCCAGGTTGTTAAAATAATCCTGATTAAATTGCATTTGAAATTATAAAAACAAGTTTAAATATTATTTTTTTTAATTATAATAATACAAATTATGGTTCTTATATAACTATTTTTACTCATAATAAATGTACAAATCGATCTCTTCTTTGTACAGTTGATTCTACTAATGATGTATGTATATAAAGAATTTTAAAAAATTATGAATCTGATTTTACTGATTCTACTGATAGTAATTGTAGTAATTGTTTGTTTAAATGTAGTTCAAATTAGGATTATGCAGTATGTTTTAGCAGTAGAATATACAGTAAATATGGTACAGCAATAACTGTATTTAGTCTTAATAATTATACTACTTTGAGGGATGAATATACAATATCAGGTCTAGTTATCTTTTAAAGACATGGTATATTCATTCAATAACAGATTTTAATGATACCAATTATAATGACTGGAATTATCTTTATACTGTATTCTGCAGATGAATTAAGTTGTTAACAAAACACATGAGCGAATGCTAATAAAAATACTTGTTCTTAATGGATAAATACATTTACTGTTAATTCTGATACTCCTGGATGCATATCTATAAGAACATGTAATTTAACTGATTTAACATCATTAATAATAATAATTTTGTTAATTGGTTTATGAATTTACTTACACAACTTCAGAATAATGATGGTTTTATTGATAAAACTTGTTATAATTATGGATAAAACATAAAAAGTTTTACACATTCTAATTTTATTAATTGCTTATGTATTTGTCCTAATTTATCTAATACAAGAAAATCAAATAATACAGATGATACAACTAAATTATGTGAAATTTATACTGCTATTATCGAAACTAGAAATACTTAGTCTAATTTGTGATACTTTCTATCAAGTTGTAAATATGATAGTTTCAATGAAATATGTGTTGAAAAAAACTGTACAACTTTTTCAGGAACTTGTAAATTAAGCCTAATTGTGAAGCATAGTCATGTAGATGTTGAGTCTTAATATAATATTTTATATATACTATTAATTCTTTTTATAATGGATGTTATTTAAAATTAGTTTAAATGCTATCACATCAATAACATTTACGGAAAGTAATTGTAACAAATGGTCTGAGGGTTGGACTTTGAAATCTATTAATGATTTTTTGTACAACTAATTGTTTTGACAATGTTTTACATTTTTCAGTATTTAATCATGCAAATTGCGAAGCAAGGAATCCATAATATTTCTGATAGTATTAAGTGTTCACTAAAAACTTGAATTTTTAATTATTAGTTATCAACATACATTAATAATGATGCAG